TCCGACCCCAGTTCCTGTCTTGCTACAGTTTCGTCTTTGAGTCCATCTCCGACGCTGATGTGGTGACGTCTACCTGGCCAGAAGCGTCCGCCACCCTCTGGATCGCAGCACTGTGGCTCAGGCGGCCGTCCCGGACATGATATGAGGGCTTTTCTGCCTCACGCGTACCCCCACCCTCCTCTCTTTGCTCTCTCCGCTGTGTCCTGCGTTTCTAGCTCGTGCATGCGCTCTGAAGCCAGTCGTGTAGCTCCATGGGTGGCCGGCGCTCTTCGCCTGCCCCGGAGCTCCTGCTCTATTATTTCCTTAGTCTTTTTTAAGAAGCCACCCGCACCACAGGTGTGCGCGCCCAGCCGCGCTCGACCTTACATAGTAAGACCCGGGCCGGTTTTGTTGCGCACGCCCTGCAAATATGGGATACTTTCTTCTGCTTCCCCTCTCCCTCCGCTTTTTGTCAGTCGCGATTGCTCGCGTGGGCTTCAGCGCGCGCACCGCTTACCAATGCCGGCCTACGCACGCGCGAGCCTCGTTACAGAACTTGCTCGGGCGTTTCTGTCCTACCGTCTTTCCTCCTCCTCTTCTTCGCTTTCCGCGCCCCTCCTCATCCTTCCTCCCCCCCGCTCCCTGCTCACTCGGCCACCTAGCTGCGGCCGTTCGTTGTCGTTCTGTTGCTGGCGTTGACCGTGTAGGGTAACCCACAGGTGCCGCCGCAGCCACTGCTTGTCGCCCGGCGTGGACTGGCACTTCACCGCCCGAGGCCTTGGGAGCCCGCGGGCATCTTGGGTTTTCCTCCTCCTCCTCCCTCCTCCTCCTCCTCCTCCCCCTCCTCCTCCTCCTCCTCCTCCTCCTCCTCCTCCTCCGCCTCCTCCTCCTCCTCACTCATTCACAACTGCTACTCATCACTCGTCGTCAGTACCACAACACCACCGTCACCATCGTCAGTATCGCACACAGTCGCACACATACACACACCGACACACTCAGCTTGAGGAGGTCTCAGGCGGGAGCCTCGTCTGTGAGTGAACACCTTCACTTTTACTAATCACCATCGTCATGACCACCCATCGCCCGCCACCATTGTCACCATCACCATCGTCACCATCACCCATCACCATCGTCCTCATCATCGGAGGAAGTCTCAGGCGGGAGCCGCGTCCGTGAGCGAATTGCTAGGAAATCTCAGGCGGGAGCCCCCTACCTATGGGGCCCGCCGCTCATGGTTTAGTTCCCAACCCTCCTGTGCTGGGTGCTCGTTTTGAATAGAGCTGTGTGGTCTCCACCCTGCTTCTCCCGCCTCCCCTCGCTCCTGCCTTCTGTGCTCTCCTGTCGTCTGGGGGGCTTGCGATCTGCGCAAGTGTCGCTACTTTCGTGGGCTCCTGGGAGGCCCAGCGGAGGTACGCCATACGCGGAACACCTCGGGACCTCGCCGCCCCTTGGGGGGCTTGCGATCTGCGCAACCGTCGTTTCGTGGGCTCCTGGGAGGCCCAGCAGTGGCACGCCATACGCGGACCACTTCGGGACCTCGCCGCCCCCTGTGGGGGTTTGCGGTATGCGCAATTGTCGCCACTTTCGTGGGCGCCTGGGAGGCCCAGCGGAGGTACGCCATACGCGGACCACCTCGGGACCTCGCCGCCCCCTGGGGGGCGTGCGATCTGCGCAATTGTCGCCACCTTCGTGGGCTCCTGGGAGGCCCAGCGGAGGTACGCCATACGCGGAACACCTCGGGACCTCGCCGTCCCCTGGGGGGCTTGCAATCTGCGCAATTGTCGCTTACGCAACTGTCGCCACATTCGTGGGCTCCTGGGAGGCCCAGCGGAGGTACGCCATACGCGGACCACCTCGGGACCTCGCCGCCCCTTGGGGGGCTTGCGATCTGCGCAACCGTCGTTTCGTGGGCTCCTGGGAGGCCCAGCAGTGGCACGCCATACGCGGACCACTTCGGGACCTCGCCGCCCCCTGTGGGGGTTTGCGGTATGCGCAATTGTCGCCACTTTCGTGGGCTCCTGGGAGGCCCAGCGGAGGTACGCCATACGCGGAACACCTCGGGACCTCGCCGTCCCCTGGGGGGCTTGCAATCTGCGCAATTGTCGCTTACGCAACTGTCGCCACATTCGTGGGCTCCTGGGAGGCCCAGCGGAGGTACGCCATACGCGGACCACCTCGGGACCTCGCCGCCCCTTGGGGGGCTTGCGATCTGCGCAACCGTCGTTTCGTGGGCTCCTGGGAGGCCCAGCAGTGGCACGCCATACGCGGACCACTTCGGGACCTCGCCGCCCCCTGTGGGGGTTTGCGGTATGCGCAATTGTCGCCACTTTCGTGGGCGCCTGGGAGGCCCAGCGGAGGTACGCCATACGCGGACCACCTCGGGACCTCGCCGCCCCCTGGGGGGCGTGCGATCTGCGCAATTGTCGCCACTTTCGTGGGCTCCTGGGAGGCCCAGCGGAGGTACGCACGCGGACCACCTCGGGACCTCGCCGCCCCCTTGGGGGGATTGCGATCTGCGCAAGTGTCGCCACTTTCGTGGGCTCCTGGGAGGCCCAGCGGAGGTACGCCATACGCGGACCACCTTGGGACCTCGCCGCTCCCTGGGGGGGGGCTTGCGATCTGCGCGATTGTCGCCACTTTCGTGGGCTCCTGGGAGGCCCAGCGGAGGTACGCCATACGCGGACCACCTCGGGACCTCGCCGTCCCCTGGGAGGGGGGGGGGGCTTGCGATCTGCGCAGTTGTCGCCACGTTCGCGGGCTTCTGGGAGGCCCAGCAGTGGCACGCCATACGCGGACCACCTTGGGACCTCGCCGCCCCCTGGGGGGTTTGCGATCTGCGCAGTTGTCGCCACGTTCGCGGGCTTCTGGGAGGCCCAGCGGAGGTACGCCATACGCGGACCACCTTGGGGCCTCGCCGCCCCCTGGGGGGCGTGCGATCTGCGCAATTGTCGCCACCTTCGTGGGCTCCTGGGGGGCCCAGCGGAGGTACGTCATACGCGGACCACCTCGGGACCTCGCCGCCCCCCCTTGGGGGCTTGCGATCTGCGCAGTTGTTGTCATTTTCGTGTGCTCCTGGGGGGCCCAGCGGAGGTACGCCATACGCGGACCACTTCGGGACCTCGCCGGGGGGGGCTTGCGATCTGCGCGATTGTCGCCATTTTCGCGGGCTCTTGGGAGGCCCAGCAGTGGCACGCCATACGCGGACCACTTCGGGACCTCGCCGCCCCCCTGGGGGGCGTGCGATCTGCGCATTTGTCGTCTTTTTCGTGGGCGCCTGGGAGGCCCAGCGGAGGTACGCCATACGCGAACCACCTCGGGACTTCGCCGCCCCCTGGGGGGCGTGCGATCTGCGCAATTGTCGCCACCTTCGTGGGCTCCTGGGAGGCCCAGCAGTGGCACGCCATACGCGGACCACTTCGGGACCTCGCCGCCCCCTGTGGGGGTTTGCGGTATGCGCAATTGTCGCCACTTTCGTGGGCGCCTGGGAGGCCCAGCGGAGGTACGCCATACGCGAACCACCTCGGGACTTCGCTGCCCCCTGGGGGGCTTGCGATCTGCGCAGTTGTCGCCACCTTCGTGGGCTCCTGGGAGGCCCAGCGGAGGTACGCCATACGGCACGAATTACTTCAGGCCCTTGTGGTTCCATTTTGTATACGTCTCGTTCATCGTCTTGCTGCGCTCTTCTGAAATCATTGCTGGGTGCTCTTCTTGCGCACTGCGGGTCCTTCATAATGCCAGTCAGCATTGAGTGGTCCTGAGTATGATCGCCACATGTATAGAAAGGGTTGGGTACGTCACAGGCTAAGCTTAAATCCGAGCGGGTCGTCGGAACGCACATAATTGTCGTCACAGTTGGGCCCCTGAGGCTTGAACATGGAGGAAGTATCAGGCGGGAGTCTCATCTGAGTCAATTGCGTGGAAGTCTCAGGCGCGAGCCCCTTCCCTATAGGGCTTGCAGCTCATGTTTTCGGGGAAACCCGTACTTGTCGTCACTTTTGGGCCCCTGAGGCTTGAATCTGAAGGAAGTATCAGACGGGAGCCTCGTCTGTGAGTGAATCCCGAACAAGTCTCAGGCGGGAACCCCCTTTTTCTTTTGGGCCCGCGACTAATATTTTTAACACGAGCGGGCCACTGGACAATTGTTAATTGTCGTCACTTTTGGGCCCTGAGGCCTGACTATGATGGAGATATCAGGCGGGAGCCTCGTCTGTGAGTGAATTGCGTGGAAGTCTCAGGCGCGAGCTTCCGCCATATGGAGCCCGCAGCTCAGTTTGTAATCCGAACGGTCGTCACTTCTGGGCCCCTGAAGCCTGAATATGAGGGAAGTATCAGGCGGGAGCTTCGTCTGTGAGTGAGATGTGAGGAAGTTCAGGCAGGAGCCTCCGCCCTATGGCGCCCACAGCTCATGTTTGAAATCCGAGGCGGGTCATCGGAGCTTCGTAACTGTCGTCAGTTGTGGGCTCGTGGGGCCTGAGTATGGGGGAAATTTCAGGCGGGAGTTGTCGTTTGTGAGTAGCGGGGTAGTCTCAAGCGGAAGCCCCCTCCCTATGGGGCCCGCAGGTCATGTTTGTGATCCGAGGCGGGTCATCGGACAACTTGTAACCGTCTTCACTTCTGGGCCCCTGAGGCCTGAATCTGGAAAAAGTATCAGACAGGAGCCTCGTTTGTGAGTGAATTGCGAGGAAGTCTCAGGCGGGAGCCCCCTCCCTATGGGGCACGCAGCTCATTTTTGAAATCCGAGGCGGGTCATCGGATCCCTGTAAGTGTGTAAGTGGCGAGGAGGAGAATGACACAGAGGAGACAGTAAGGATGCCTCAACAATCACGGCGACGACAATGAGGGTTATTCCCAGATTCGCCGAGAGGATTCTCATGCGGGGTCCTACCGTCGGAGTAATTTTTCCAAACCGTCCAGCCAGGCGGCCGCCTTTATCAGGCATCTGGTTTGAAACAAACCCGTTTGGTCTGGCAAAGACGCCCCCCCCTACCCAATATTAGCCGCTATCTTTCGTGCCAAAGGAGAAGAATGTGAGCGCGGACTCTGCCCGAATCGAGAAAGAGGCTGCGGAGACCAAGATATTGGCGGAGGACGCCACGCGCGACCTAGAGAAGGCGATGCCGGCGCTCGAGGCCGCGATGGACGCGTTGGAGAAGCTTGATAAGAAGTCCATCGCAGAAGTCAAGGCGTATGCCAAGCCGCCGGACATGGTGATGAAGACGTTGAGTGCAGTCATGACCGTCATGGAGAAAACTCCGAATTGGGCACAGGCAAAAGTCGAGCTGAACGACGTGGGTTTCCTACCGAGAATCAAGAACTTCGATAAGGACAACATCAAGGACTCTACACTGAGAAAGATCGAGAAGTTCACAAAGGACCCACAGTTTACTTACAAGATCGTCAGCAACATCTCGCTTGCTGCTGGCGCTCTTTGCCAGTGGGTGCACGCGATGAAGATTTACGCAGAGGTATACCGTGAGGTGGAGCCCAAGCGGAACAAGCTCAGGATGGCACAGGAAAAATTGGAGCAGAAGAACAAATCGTTGCGTGAGGCGAACATAGAGCTGAAGAAGGTCCAAGACATGGTCCAGAGCTTGAAGGACCGCTTCGAGGCCTCCCAAAAAGAGAGCTCCGATCTGGCAACAACAGCTGCGGAATTGCAGTCCAAGCTGGAGCGTGCTGACAAGCTCGTCAACGGTCTGGCTGGAGAAAAGATCCGTTGGCAGGCATCGCTGGGAAATTTTGATCTTCAGCTGGAGAATCTGTTCGGCGACTGTGTCATGTCGGCTGCATTCATGAGCTACGCAGGGCCATTCGGCGCGGGCTACCGTAACAGGATGGTGTCAAAGGAGTGGATGCGCTTTCTTGGCCAGGATAAGATTGCCGTAACATCGGGCTTCACATTCGCCAGTTTCATGGCAACCCCAAGCGACGTTCGGGAATGGAATATGGATGGTCTTCCTTCGGATGATTTTAGCACCGAGAACGCAATCCTCGCCACCCGTGGGCGTCGCTTCCCCTTGATGATCGACCCGCAGAATCAGGGCAACAGGTGGGTGCGGAAGATGGAGGGCCCGAGGGGCCTGAAGGTTTTCGACCCGGGCTCGAAGGACACCATGCGCACAATAGAGCACGCGATCCAATTCGGAAACCCGATACTCCTCGAGAACGTCGGCGAAGAGCTCGATCCCTCGTTGGAGCCTGTGCTGGCCAAAAACATCATCGACAACGGCTCGGGCAGCTTGTCCATAAAGATTGGGGACTCCATGCTGGACTACAACGCGAACTTCAAATTCTACATCACGACCAAGCTCTCGAATCCGCACTATACCCCAGAGGTATCCACCAAGACGACCATCGTGAATTTCATCGTCGTTCAAGCTGGGCTGACCAATCAGCTCCTCGGGGTCGTTGTCATGAAGGAGCAACCTGAGGCAGAGATGCAGAAGAACGAGCTGGTAGTGAAAGTGGCCAAGGGCAAGAATCGCTTGGTGGAGCTGGAAAACGAAATCCTCCAAAAGTTGGCAGAGACAACGGGCTCCCTACTGGACGACATCACGCTGATTGACACACTACAAGAGTCCAAGGTCACCAGTGAGCAAGTGACTGAGCAGGTCGCAGTTGCAGAGCAGACGATGGCAAAGATTGACGCCGCGCGGGAGAGCTACCGGCCTGCAGGCAGCAGATCAGCAACTCTCTATTTCGTCCTCAATGATCTTGTGGTGGTGGACCCGATGTACCAGTTTGCTCTAGATGCCTACGTTCACTTGTACACCCAGAGTATCGAAAAGAGCTCCGTCAACCAGATCCCGAACAACATCGATGAGCGCATCGACCACCTGAACTCTTACCACGCCCTTGCAGTGTATCGCTTTGCCTGCCGCGCCCTGTTCGAGCGCCACAAGCTGCTCCTCTCCCTGCACCTCTGCGCGTGCCTGCTCATCGAGAAGGGCGAACTGAACCCCAAGGAGTACAGGTTCTTCCTCTTCGGCGGCGTGGTGCTGGACCGTTCGGGCCAGGCGAACAACCCATCCCCCGACTGGATCACCCAGCAGATCTGGGACAACGTGACGGAGCTCGAATCGAACCTCGAGGTCTTCAAGGGCTTCCAGCAGTCCTTGGAGCAGACCCTGCGCGATTGGAAGAAGTGGTATGCGAGCCCGCAGCCCGAGAAGGAGCCCCTCCCCGGAGAGTGGGACGCGAAGCTCGACATGCTGCAGAAGCTGATCGTCATCCGGTGCATCAGGACCGACCGGGTCCTGCCTGCCACGGTGAACTTCATCGCGAGCAAGCTGGACCCGAAGTTTGTGGAGCCCCCGCCGCTCGACCTCGAGCAGATCTACGAGGAGTCGTCGTGCACCACGCCGCTGCTGTTCGTGCTGACTCCGGGCATGGACCCGACCAGCCAGCTGAAGCAGCTCGCAGTGGCCAAGAACGTGGACGCGCAGACCGTCTCCCTGGGCCAGGGGCAAGAGATGAAGGCGATCAAGATGATGCAGGACGGGGCGTCGCGAGGGTTCTGGGTCCTGCTCGCCAACTGCCACCTCTGCATTAAGTGGCTGCCCGCGCTGGAGAAGGAGATCGACAAGATCTTCGAGGCCAAGCCGCACAAGGAGTTCCGCGTATTCCTGTCCTCTTCGCCATCGCCCAAGTTCCCAATTCAGCTCTTGCAGACTTGCATCAAGATGACGGCTGAGCCTCCAAAGGGTCTAAAGGCCAACATCGTGAGGCTGCTTATGAACACCACAGAGGAGGATTATGGCCGGGCCCGCGAGACACAGAAATATCGCAGGCTATTCTTCTCGC